CGTCGTCGTACGTACGTACGTAACGTACGTACGTACGTACGACGTACGACGTACGTACGTACGTACGTACGTACGTACGTACGTCGTACGTTACGTACTCTCTCTCTCTCTCTCTCTCTCTCTCTCTCTCTCTCTCTCTCTCTCTCTCTCTCTCTCCGTATAACCAACAGGCTTATGCTGCAGAGCAGAGGAGTTCGTTGAATCTCAAATTTACATATGTTCTTCTCATCCTAGCGATCAAAATAAGGAAAATGAAAAAAAATTGAAACCTTGCAAAAATTGGTCCAAAATGGATCCACCATTTTCGGTGAATGCAGGCCATCCATTTGATGGACATTGGATCCAGGTCTTTAAGAACTCAAAACTTGTTTTTTTTTTTTCATTTATTGAATCAACAGCATGCAAACTAATTTCAGCCGAAAATATTTCACACATGTATGCCCTCGCACTTATGCAGAAAGAGAGAGAGAGATGTATGGAGGGAGGGAGGGATGGATTTCTCTTCTGAAAACTGATGCTAGTTATTTTTAATACATTTCAAATGAAAGCTCGTTTCATTGGACCCTTTATCTTCTGCAGTTGAAAATGCTCAACCCAGAGTCTCGAATTGTTGAATTCCTACAAAAGACTCCTGACCCACCAGTCTTTGAAGCAGTTCGCAATGCCATCATAGTTCTCCAAGACCTCGGGGCATTATCGAAGGACGAATCCCTAACTGAGCTGGGAGAGAAAATTGGCTCCCTTCCTGTTCGGCCTTCAACTAGCAAGATGCTTCTCTTTGCCATTTTAGTGAACTGTCTTGACCCCGCCCTAACTTTTGCATGCGCATCAGAATATCGAGATCCCTTTGTTCTTCCTGTGGCTCCTGATGCAAAGAAGAAAGCTAATGCTGCCAAAGCCAAGTTGTCCTCATTGTATGGTGGCAAAAGTGATCAGCTCACTGTTATAGCTGCATTCGAAAGCTGGATGCAAGCAAAGGCCAAAGGGAAGAAATCCGAATCTGAATTTTGCTCTTATTACTTCATCTCACCTGGCATCATGTATATGATATTGAACATGCGGAAGAAGCTAAGGAGCGAATTAGTTCAGCTTGGTTTTATTCCTCAAGATGTCTCTAGTTATAGCTTGAATTCTAAAGACCCAGGCATTCTTCGTGCTGTTCTGGCAGCTGGTATGTATCCGATGGTGGGGAGGTTGTTACCGCCTCTTGGGGGTGCTCAAAGGGCTGTCGTAGAAACATCAAGTGGTGCTAAGGTTCGTTTGCACTATCACTCTTGTAATTATAGAGCAGCTAATAATTTGACTACTGAGCGTCCCTTGCTTGTGTATGATGAAATTACTCGTGGCGATATGGGTATGTATGTGAAAAACTGTACCATTGTAGGGCCCTACCCATTGTTGTTCTGGGCCACTGAATTAGCGGTAGCCCCTTTGAATAATGAGGCAGAGAGTGATTTGGAGGATGATAGCTCTGATAGTGAGGAGGATGAAATGGATATTGAGGGCTCAGTTGGTCGAAGGCATGGAGAAAGGCTTCTTTCTTCACCTGATAATCCTGTATTGGTTGTGGTGGATCGGTGGATTAAGTTTCAGTCCACTGCACTGGATGTTGCTCAGATATACTGCTTAAGGGAGCAGCTATCAGCGGCTATCTTGTTTAAAGTAAGTCAAAACATTATCCCCACACTCAAATTATTGGTTCATAATATTTAGTAATGCATTTATTCTTTTGGTTAGCTAGAAGCTGAGCAATTGATTCTTGTTTATCTATTTTCTATGTTTAAAAGCACAATGATTTAAGAATTAACTCGTGACTAGATTACCATTAAAACGACTCTAAAAAAACGGACGACAGTGATAAAAACTGGCTGAGTTTAAGGACCCTCCATATCTTGGGAGGAGTATAATTCGATAGCTTTGTATATGGGCATATTATACCTTCTTAGTTCTATACGTGAGTTTCAGCTTTTCCACGTCAAAATTACTGAGCTGTTTTATTTGCAAAAGAGTGATATATGTCCGTACCCTAAAATTTTAAGTAAAATATGAAATGCTCCACTTATATGTGGAAATTACAAAGAAGGTTGGTTAACCCATTTTTCTATTTTTTTTATCAAAATTGCCCTTTGGTCAACTCTTGCACGTCACTATTTGAGTGTGTACATTTTTAATAATTTTTATTTTATTTTGAGTGATTTACTTACGTATCTTAAGATTTTAGGTAAAATACAAAATGCTCCACTTATATGTGAAAATTACAAAAAAGGTTGGTTAACCTGTTTTTTTTATTTTTTTTCAAAATTGCTCTTTGGTCAACTCGAATGTTGAAATTTTTTTTTTCTTTTTTTTTTTATTTGTTTTTTGTATTTTCGTTAGTAGGGCAATGCCTTAAAGCTTGGGGCGCTGCCTCACTAATGAACAAGCTAAATAAAATTAAAAAAAATCAAAATTTGGATTGACCAAAGGGCAATTTTGAAAAAATAAAAAAAATGGGTTGACTGATCTTCATTTTAATTTCGGCGTATAAGCGGAGCACTTTGTATTTTACCTAAAATTTTAAGTTCTGCGTGTAAATTACTCTTTGCAAAATTTAGTACCCTCTTTGAATGTTGACCTGAATATTAACTTGGGACCTTGTGGGAATGGAACTCAAGATCGGTGTTGTAAAACATGAATTCGGCTGTCTAGGCCTCCCAGGGTCCACGTAGGTGGGCAGGCGCCTAGGAGGGCACCAAGTTCCTTGGGGGCTGTTCAGGAAGGTGTGCGTTCTAGGCCCCATGAATGGTGTATGAGGGGATGGATTGGAATCCAAAACCCACAAATCGATCCTAGAAACCAATTTTTTTAATCAAGAGACAAATTTAAGACCAATAAACAAGAAAATATCCATTTGGATTAGGTTTAATGAGAATTTATTAAGATTGGGTTGCCCAGTCTTAGCAAAATGCTATTAACCACATACAAAAACCATTCTTTAATATGGGCCACAAATCTAAACATAAACTTGCAAACAAATATAAGAGCGAAACTAAACAAGAAAAAAAATCACATTATTTGCCCTTTTCAAATGAGGACAAATTTCAGGCCAATAAACTAGAGGAAATCCATGTGGGTTAAGTTCAAATGAGATTTTACAAGGATTGGGTTACTAAACCAAAACCCACTCTTGAAAATGGGCTGCAAATCATAAACCTGAAAATAAAAAAACAAAAAAATACAAGAACAAAGATGAAACAAGCAAAAGATAATATAACTAAACCTATAAACCAACAAAAAATTTAAATATATTAATCTTTCAAAATGCGATAGATCTTGGCTCGATTTGGTGACCGTTGGTTACCGGAAGTCTTCTTTGACAACCACTTAAAGCCACAAAAACTATAGGGTTAAATGCTTTTTGATTTTGCAAGGAATTAAATTAAAAAAATCTTGAGATTATGATTTTTCTTGCTCTAAATGAATGAAATATGGTTTCACGGGTTGGAATGCCCCCAAAAACCCCACCATTGTTCTCTTTTTGGCCATTGGGCTTATGGTGGTGGTGGCAGGGCTGGGGGCAATATTAGTGGCCATCTTTCTGTCCTCATGCCAAGTGGCTCGAGAGAGGCGCCACCTAGGCAAGCTCTCGAGCACCTACGCGCCTCAATGCCTAGGCCAGTTTGGTGCGCTGAAGCCTCATGGGCCTGTAGGCAACCGAATTCGCAAGCTTTGCTCAAGTTGTCATGTGGCACCTGCCACCTATGCCTTGAACCTGTTCCCAACTAAGTACTTTTCTTTTACTCTTCAAAACAAAGAAAGTTGGGCGCTCTTTTGCCATTGGCCTGGTTCCATCTCATTTTCAGTTTGCCTAACTGTGTTTTCCCTTTGTGCAGGTGAAGGAGTCTCACAAAGCGCTCCCACCGGCTCTCGCAGCATCCATGCATGCAATTGCTGGCATTCTCTCTAATTCCAATATTTCAGAAATGCCCTCAGCTAAAGAGTCAATAGACACCTTGACCACCATGGTTAGCACTGCCAGAATCGATCCTCGAAACTCATCAAATGGCATGCACTTAGCTGGAGCTCGCCATTCTTGCAACACACGAAGCAGGGCACTTCCTAAACACAACCGCAGTAGAAATAGGAGGGGCATACCAAATGTTCAAATGCCCATGGAACCTTTGGGTACCGACTCGATGAACCCATATCTATCTCATAAGCATCAACCAGCCATGTTGTCTGCCTCGGATCAAGGGCTCCTGTTGGATGGTGGGCCCCCCTTCAAAAGACGTGGGTCTTTAAAACGAAATTGGAGAAAGAAGCCCTGATGGGGTGATGTATATTTGAATTGGGATGATCAGAGAAGCCATGAAGAGATAATAATAATCTATATTGGCTTGGGGCTCTTGGTGGAAGGAGCGTGGTGGGTTTTATGTTGTGATGCCCGTTGTGGCCTTAGGCATAAGCTAAAAAGCGTGGATCTTTGAAGCAGGTCGAACCCATTTTTGGGATCCATCCATAATGGGTTGTGATGGTTTCCATATGAGAGCTTCCTTTAAGTTTGAGACATGCATGTGGATGCCATGTTATTTGGCATCAATGCATCATTCGTTGTAGGAGATGCGTTATTTAGATGATGCCCATTATGGATCCCTCGAGAGAGACAGCTTCTTTTGATTCTGTATTTGGCCTAGGTTCCTTAATGTAACATGTATCAGCGGAGCTGTCTCTTTTTAAGTGGGATTCCATTTTGGGTTGATGTTTAATTTGGTGTCTTAATGAAGTTCACGAAGACTTATGCTCTTTCTTTCCAATTTCTTGGCATATATTATGTGCCCTTGATCTAAATTTTACTTACCAAAAGAAAAAGGAGAAGCTTGAGCATGTGCATGCACAGAATAGTGCTTTGGTTGGCCTTCTGGGTAATGAGATTAATATATTTTTATCAGGTTCATAGATTTTTTTTTTTTGGAGAAAGTATTATTATTATTGTTTCCAAGTTATTTTTTTTCATCATTTCTCTTTTTTACTTTGCTGAATTTGGTGTGCATGTTGTGCTTGAAGCACATACATACATGGAACATGATTCTTAGGTTGCCCTGTGCGGTCTTAGCCTTAAGAGTGTGTGTTACTGTCGTTTCCAAAAATTGACAAATTCATTATTTTTTCCTAAGGACTGCAATATGTAGCGGCACATGCTTTGGTTTTTAAAATTTATTTGTAATTTATATCAAGATAAAATTATTAAAAATTTAACCGGCCTTATAATTTGCAAATTCATAATGTCTGTTTGTAGCTTATTTTGAAATATTTATTTGAGTATATTCTTTATTTGAAAGAGAGTTGATGTCAACTTAAATTAGGGTTGTACTGTAGGACTTTACTTTTGACACGAGGTATTTAGCTGATGAATGTAAAAATTTGATGGATTTAAGGGTGTTACAGTATTAAAGAAATGTTATTTTGGACTTTGTGCTCAATTATCGACACATCTTCAACCACTCAATTTTACATCCAATAGTCGATAATGATCGTGACCTTGTATTAAAGTAAATGGTGTACATTTTATTTAGCTCAATTATCAGCATATCTTCAACCACCCAATTTTACATCCAATAGACGATAATGTCAACCACCCAATTTTACATCCAATAGACGATAATGCTTGTGACCTTGTATCAAAGTAAATAAGAGTTCGAAATTTTGGAAAGATTTAAGATGGGCGTTTTAGTTTTCCTCTACTTTAAATTTTGAGGAAGATATTATTGGAGAATAGACGGATGATTTATCAAGTGTTTAGAATAGAGAATAAGAACTAAAATTGAGAAAAGGATGACCCAAACTTATTCTTGAAGAATTTTGTTTCTTAATGATGCAAATAGTGGTAGCATTATAGGCGCATCCAATTTTGTGCGACTAACACACGCAAACATACAAATAAGGGCGGTGATTTTATGTAACGATTGTATAATAATATAATGCAATAATCTTCAAAAACCATCTAAAGGCTATTTGTTTGATCCAAATTTTAAAATATACACTTTTTTTATTTTAATGAACAATCATAAAAGATAAAAATTTGAAAATATAAATTTAAAAGTATTTTTTTACCCCAATTAATATAGGCCATCCATTTTGATAAGATGCTTAGATCTAAGCCTTAGAAGGATTTTTTTTCTTTTCTAATTTTTTTTATATGACTTTACTATCATTAGATGAACAATGTTAAAAAATAAAAAAATAATTTTGAGTTTGTAAAGGCTAAGATCTTGAAACTCACCAAATGAATGGTCTAGATTCGTTGTTGGAGAGGATTCATTTTGACCGCATCTAGGGTTCAAATTAAAATTTTTTTTTTCTTGGAAATGATTATTAAGATGAAGAGAGAGTGTGTGCAAAATTATGAATTATACAAATACCATTATCATAGTTTTCTAAAAGTGTGATTGCGTTATATTATGATGAAACCGTTGCATTAGATGCACTAAATTTAGGTCTTGTATGTATGTCTCTGTTTTTAGCTGCGGCAATGAATCTTCCTACTTGTGTGTGAGCGGGTGGGAGGCCAGCTTGGGATGTTACTATCCTCTTTTTAGGCAGTTCAACAGTGGAAATCAAACTAGAGATACAACCTTGCTAAGGTCAACAGCTAACCAATCGAGCCACAAACAGGTTTTCCACGCATAAGGGCCGTAATGGGTTGTGCTGGACCAGGACTCAAAAAATTATTATGGAACCCAGACCTGAAGTCACGTGACCGGACCCAAAAATAATATGTGGGACTTGGACCTGGACCTGACTCAAAAATTAAAATATCCATGTATTTAAATATATTTCATAAATTGGGACCCCAAAAAAATATAGTGTAGGACCGTAATCTGAACCCGAACCCAATTGGACCTAATCAGGCCCGGACCGGGCCCAAATGGGGTTCGGGTCCAAGATTTGAACCCAAACTTGATCTGCCAGGTCCAATTTTTGGACTCATATCCGGACCTAGGTTGGGTTTACGCGTTAGGTCCCAGCTCAGGTTATGACCATTGCCATCCCTATCCACGCATGCTACTACTCCCGCTGCAACTTCAAGAATGGAACCTTTTATTAGGAAAAGGGTGCGGATTTTATAAGGATGCAACCTTAAACAATCCAATCAAGGCGCACCTTAAAATTTTGTTATAAAAAATTCTTAGTATTATTGTAAAATCAATTTTTGTACCTAATTAGAAAATTTTGAATATAAAAAATGGTTAAAATCAAGTCGATCTATAAATGTATGCAAATCATGAAAATGGACGGTCTAGATAATGTGTTGCAAGATGCACTATTTTCGGTACTAAAAAACTTTTTTTTTTTCATATTCATACATCGAAATGTCGAGATGATCGATTAGAATGTTTTTTCAACATTAAAACAACATTTCCGATAGATTTTTGAGGTGCATCTGTGATTCTACATTTTAAAGTATAAACTTTTTCCATAGGAAAATGCCACTAAGTCCCTTTTGGAAGCAAGGATAAAAGGGAAAGAAAAGTTTTATTACTATATTTTTTACTCCATTAAACCTAACGATTTGATATCCGTATCACGATAATCGATCGGGACCAATCCTTGTATAATTTTTTTTAAGGTTTATCTAACGTTGTGTAAGACCCCTCTTAATTCATACCCCATAAACTCTTATTTTAATTTTTATATTATTTTATTTAAGAAAAAAGTTTATATAAAGATGCAACCTTATAATGTAGAACTACGGATGCACCTAAAAAATCCATCAAAATGTGGTTTTATGTTGAAAAACCCTATGATTGATCGTCTCGACATCGAGTTGTATGAACATGAAAAATAAAAAGATTTTAAGTCTAAAAAATAATGCATTTTACAACATATTATCTACACCGTCCATTTTCAAGACTTTCATATGTTTACAGATCTACTTGATTTTAACCATTTTTGAAATTTAAAATTTCATAATTTGATATAAAAATAGATTTTGAGATAATCCTAAAAACATTTTACATCAAAATTATATACCATGATAAAATTTGAAAGTGCACCTTACCTCTAGAGCTACGGATGCATCTGTATGCCAACTGCACCCTTTGTTTAATTTCTAGTATTTTTCTCGATCACCAATTCGGAGCCAACCAAATCCGATTCAAATCACCCCATCTAGCGACCAGGCACCCACGTGTGCCTAACCGACAATCGTTAGAGATGCGGGCTTTGAAACACTCATTAAAACTATTGGAAAGTACTCATTTTCACAATTGCCCGTCTCGGTTACACCGATGCGGAATAAGTCACATAGACCTATTAGTTTTTTAGAAAAACTACAAAAAAAAAAGATTACTTTAATTTTTTTCTCCCACTTTTTTCCCCAAAATACACTTTCTATACAAATACCCCTAATCAAATTTAAAAAAAAAAAAACCTAAACTACCTTCTATTACCTTTACCTTACCCACGTCTCTTTCTCTATCCCACCAAAATAGGGGCTCTGGTACTGTTTAAGTGCGGTTTGGCAATAAGGCTCTTGTGTAAAATATGGTTCGGCACTAGGGCTCCGGCATTGTCCGGTACCGTGTAAAGTACGGCCCGGTAGTAGGGCTCTGACATTGTGTAAAATGCGGTTCAGCAGTAGGGTTCAGCACAGTGTAAAGCAATGGTTTAAAAACCGGATCGGTGACTCAGATCGGGCTTTTCAAAAACAGATCCGGATCGGCAAATCGGAGATCCGGATCGGAGAATCGACGATCTGGATCGGAATCGGGTGAATCGGTCAGAATAAAGCTTCAAAAAAATCCGAAAAAATTATTAAAATTCATTATAAATATTGTTTTTTAGGAATTCAATAAAAAATGAGGGTACTTCATTAAGAATTTTCATGTTTTTGAATGAATATGCGAATATTGATATGTTCTTTCCCTGCATGAACCGCCATTCAACATTTAATTTACATCACACAAAAGGATAAACTTAGAATTATCATGGAATAAGTATATCAACATACATGGACTACAATAAAGCATAAAATTAGTAACATACGATCTAAA